TAACTAGAATATCAAAAATATAGGTGAGTTTTTAAAAGACAGAGAGGAAAATATTTCTAAGCAGAAACCACAAGGAAAAGAGTGACATAGACAACCACAGGTATATTATAAAATTTATAGTAGCAAAACAAAAACCATATTTTTAAAAACTGTAATTGATAAAAGTTTTTAATCCATAAGCAAATCTTATGTAAAAGATGAAAGTATCAGATGAAAAAATAAACAAAAGACAGAAACACAATGCTGGTCTCAAAGTTTGGTAAATTTGCTTATCAAATAAATAAACTGATTACTGAGTAGGCAACTCAAAGATTATAAATGACCAATAAACATATGAAAAAGCATGGAATCATATAATTAAAAATAAAATTAAATCAAAATAACATTATTTGCTGATCAAAATGGCCAAGATTTTAAAAAATGAAACAATGCCTATACTGACTAATGATGTAGAGAAACATACTCATTTATTCCTAGTAATATAAAATCCTACCTTAGTAAAGGAATATTTAGCAATATAGATTAAGCACTTCAATATACAAGGTTAAATTTACAAATTTGAAACTTCACTTGCTGTTTCTGCAACCTTCTATAACAATAAACTCCTTTGAGTGTTTTTGAAAAGTATCTTTCCAAAGGTAACAGGAAATGCTCTGGCACACGCCCTCCTCTTTGATGGATTCAAAGAATGCCAGGCACTGAGTCACTGGCATTCGGGCTCTCTATCTCTAAACTGGAATATGGTCTTTCTGTTCCCTTTCTTCTTCCTCTCCCTTCCTTTCCTTCAACTACAATGCTGGTTATACATACTATTTTACAAAGCTATACATCCCACTCTGTTAAACTCGGGAGGGGTTGTGTAGCTTTGGTCAACAATGTGAAGGAAGTGATGCATACCACATCTGAGCTGAATCTTTTGTAGTAGGCTGTAGTATGTCATGTTTATTTCTCCATTGCCAGGAGACCAGATGTATTCCAGGTAGAGGCTGCTATATCAGGCTGACTCTTGGTGTGAAGATAACATGGAATAGTCAAAACAATTTGAGTGGCTATGTAGTATGAGTGAAAAGTGCATGACCCCACTCCTGCCTAAAGGATTACCGAAGAGCTTGAATTTGAGTGCGCTTTGCCAATCACTGACTGAGTTCAAATCCAGCTCTGCTTTTACTTTGTAACTAAAGTTACTTTCTGTGAGATTAAATTATTAATGGCAGCTAGCTTGTAGGGTCATTATCTGGATTAAATGACTTAAAAGACTAAACGAATTATTAGTTATAACAATATCAGAGTAGTGCCTAGCAAATATTAAGTGTTGTATTAGTGTTTGTTAAATAAGTGTGTATGTGTGTTTGTGTAAAACAAAGTCTAGGAAGGTATACAAAAAATATTAGCACAGTGCATTTAAATTTTCTTCTTTTTATTTAGGCATATCTTCTGGCTATTCTACAACAAATATATATTTCCAGAATAATTTAAAAATTCTATTCAAGACTCTACTTTGCGTTAACAGTCTAGTTTTTAAAAATTGTGATTAAAATGTAATGCTTTAATATGATTACTTCTCAGAAACGTAACTAATTTCATTATGAAAGTCAATAGAAAACAGCTTTCAGTACCTGCAAGTTCTAGTAATAGCAATTTTCTTGAATCATATAGTGAGCAAAATTTACAGACAAAATCTTTAGAATGAGACTATATGTTTAAATACCATTATTTCTGTATTTTGCAAGTATATAAATGATTTATAATGACTGAAATTTGTCTCCCTAAACAAGATAAAGTAGGTTAGTCATTAGTAATTGCACCCCATTTCTCTGAGTCAGTCTCAGGCAATGAAAGTTAAGCTCTAGTTTCTAGTCTTTTTATAACCTCTCTGATCTGTATTTTTGATGGACAAGGGTGGGGTGAGACTAGGTTACTTGCTGAGATTATTGTCATTGTAACAGTCTTCCTGTTGAACCCCTTTTATTTGCTCTGGCTGGGAAGGCACCTTGGTAAAGGTTTACACAGAAAAATCATGACACTCATATTTATTACTAGCTACAGCCATCACAGCTGGAGAATGCCATGAGAACAAGCAGTGGGATCCCTTGCTTATTTTTCTTCTCCATAACTATATAGGCTTTTCTTTCTGGATAGTGGTTGTGCCTTCATTCACCTGTTGAGGACTGAAAAGACTGCTCTGGATTGTGGATTCTATAGCAGGTTTCTCTTCTTTTTGTTTTTGTGGTACTGGGGCTTGAACTCAGGCCTACACCTTGAGCCACTCCACCAGCCTTTTTTGTGTTAGGTATTTTCGAGATAGGGTCTCTCAAACTATTTGCCTGCGCTGGCTTCAAACTGCAATCCTCCTGATCTCTGCCTCCTGGTAGCTAGGATTACAGGAGTTTCAGGGAGGTTGGGACAAACTTCCTTCAGAGCAAAAGATGAATGAGTTGAAACTAGTGGGGGAGATTGTTCTGGGTAGTAAGAACAGCATGCATACAGCTCAGGATAAACAGTGTCAAAACCATCAAATAACAAATACAATAAATTTTCCACACTCAAAGTACACAATATAATATTGAGAAGAGTAATTAAAGGAGACCCAAATATATGGAAAGATATACTCATTATATTCATGTTTGCCAGATCCATATTATTAAGACATTCAGTTTCCACGAATTGATTTAAAGTGACAATACTAAAAATCCCAGCTTTTTTTGGTAAAAATTTAAAATAGGAATTAATAAGCTAATTCAAGATGTATATAGAAATACAATGGGTCTAAAATAGTCAAAACAATCTAGACAATGAAAAATGAAATTAGGAGACTCCTGATTTTCAGACTTACTATAAAGTTTTGACAGTCAAGACAAAGAGAATGATGGCAGAGACTAAAACATTTAGAATTAGACCCACACATGTATATCCATTTTCAACCAAGGTGCCAAGTCAATTCAATGGGGAAAGGATTTCTGAAAAATAGTGCTGAAATGACAGTATATTCCCCCAAACATCCCTACCTGTACATGTGAACAATGCTATAAGATCATAACCTAAATGTAAAAAACTAAAACCTAAAGTTTCTATGAGAAAACACCAGAGGAAACTTCATAATCTTAGGATAGTGTAGTGATTTGGATATGAAATGTCCCCCACAAGTCTCAAGTGTTTAAAAACTTGGTTGTCAAGTGATGGATGGGTTGTTAAGAAGTGAATGGATCATGAGAGCTCTGATCTAATCAATGAGTAATCTGCTGATATGTTAATAACTTGCTGGCATTATTGGGAGGTGGGGCCTAGCTGGAGGAAGGAGGTCTCTGCCTTGGAAGGGCATATCCTGTTCCCAGCACCTACCTGTGTCTTTTTCTGCTTCCTGGCCACAATAAGTTGCTTTGCTCCACCATGCCCTTCCACCAGGATGTACTACCTCACCACAGGACTAGAAACAATGGAACCAGAGACCATGGACTGAAAACTCTGAAACTATAAGCCAAACTAAGTCTTCCTTCTTTTAAGTTTTTTCTTTTTTTTGGTATATTTGTCACAATGATGGAAAATAACACAGGCAGGTGAAGCTTTATTAGAGAGGACACAGAAAATATTCATTATAAAAGCAAAAAGATAAATTAACCTTCATCACAATTGAAATATTCATTATAAAAATGAGTAGGCAAATCACAGAATAGGAAAAATATTATTAATACATATATCTGACATATCTGATGAGAATATTCTATCTTATTTTAGTGGTGGTTTAGTGCATATATATAGTTGTCAAAACTTTTCAAATGGAACACTTAAAACTCTGTTGTAAATTATCTCATGTATCTGTATGTAAATTATATCTCAATTTAAAAGAGAAATGTCCAGAGTAAAAGGATGTTGTACCTGTGGGTAAAAATAGCTAAAATACTCAGGGCTGGTGGTTAATTTTTTTCTTAAATTTTATCTCTGAAAAGAAAATTATAAAAACTATAAAACCCCTCTCCCCACTTCCATATTGCCCTGTAAGTTACTTCTGTATGCTAAACCACAATGATGACCAACTAAAGTCCTTCATGACATGAAAACATCGAGATCAATGAAATAAATCTTTAGTGGAATAGTTTAGGACGTGTAAAGATAAATAAGCAGCAGCATGCGAGAAGGATATGCTATCTATCTTTAAAACTGTTGGATGGTAGAAAAAGGAGAGTTTAGGCAGAGAGAACTATTCAAGTAAGCATCCATATTCTGCACTAGTCACACTCACAATTTATGCTCAGAGTTTTTATAAAAACACACAAATATATGACCATACAGTATGGTATGACATAAAGAACTTAACTAATTCTTTAATCTTTCTCTTCTAGATGATTTGTTTCTGTAGGCAAAGCATGGTATCTCTTGCAATTCACCTTTGTATATTCAGAAAAATCTAAGTCAGGGTTTTGAAAATAACAGATTCCCAATCATTATGTATATATGTGAATTAAGTTATCAATATATTTACTATTTAGTTAGAATTTATGTCCAAATCCCATGGTCCCATAATGCAAAATTATACTGCAATTATTTTATAATCTCTTTAAATAAAATATTTCAACCAACATTTTATAACTTATGGAAAACATATTTAACATATTTAAAAGTAGTATAGTAAAATAAATGATATGCAAGTGTAGCTAACCCCAGCTTAAAAATAACCATGGTATAATTATATTTCTAGGTTTTAAAAAAATTATAGAAAAGTACAATTGTTAAAAATATAAAAAAACTCAATCCCTCACAGAGTTTAGTTTCAATCTCCACATGTGAATATCTAAATGATTATAAAAGAAAGCCTGCAAGAACATTATTTTGAATTGAATATCACATTGGCAAGGCCAGAAAAGCCTGTGAACTGAGAGGCAAGTTGCTATTCCAGTGGTGGAATGTTCACTAGCAAGTATTATTCTTTTGGCAGCTGACACTTCAGAGGATTCTTCTCACTGTGAAAACCAGCAGTCCTTAATCACACACTCTAAGAGCATTTATGATGCTTTGCATGCAGCTTTTTTTCCAAGATTTTTCTGTTTCTTTCCTTACTGAGCACAAAAAGCTCAGGACAGCTAATGCTACTTTCTAGTTATACCAAGAACCTCTCGAATGCATTGGGCTTTCATCATGAAGCCAACAGCAAAACATCAAATGTGAATATCCCATTCTAAATGGGTACTCCCACGATCATGTTATTTTTAGGAGAGCAGCTCTCTGGCTCCATGGATATCACTTGAACAGAGTAGCCATGTTCTTCTGCAGCTCGTGCTCGGTCCAGATCCACCAGGCACATGCACTGTTTCCCTGAAATACAGTCACATGGTTTCATATAAGGCAGCTTTCCACTAGCAGTGCAATTTCAGTTTGTCTAAAGGAGTCTTTACAGTGACCAAATCTACAGTTCTATGGTAAACGCTGCTTACCCCCAAGTTCTATGTATTCTCTTTCAATTCAATTCTTCATCAATGTGAAGAGAAGATCAATATTTCACAGATCTATCTCTCCTAATAATTGAAAGAATGCTAACCTTTTCAAATGTACTTATGAATACATCTCAGATTAAAATTATAGATTCTATTTTCAACTTTAGTTAAAAATGTATTTATAGACTGTTCTCTGCATTCCTATAAACCACATTACCTGTAACAGTGAGAAAAAAAAATTTGTCTTTGAGAACATTTACAGTAACAAGCTGACAAAGGCCATTCCTAAAGACCCTCTATGTTTCCCACCTGGAGTTTTTCAGGACTATGAAGAAATAAGAAATGGAAAATATTTGAGAGAATTCTCAATTATATGCAGCTATGTAGCATTGGGCAAACATTCTTAATTTTTAAAGCCCTCCATCTCCACAAACTAGAGGCATTCTATTTCCTTTGTAATCTTTGGGAAACAAAAGAGGAAACGTGACAGGCAAACAAAGCAGTTAATTCGTTTTCCTTTGGCAAATACAAACTTCAAAAATAGAGAAGGAAAATATGATTTAGACCTTAATATATTCAAGGCCCATCTTTACCAATTTCAATTGCAAATTCATAATGTAGACTTCTTCATTCTCTTGGAAAGGTAACTGACTATGCAGAAACTCATTCATTCTATGTTTCCTCAACAATTATAATAATCACTAAACATTATTTTTAAATACAGTCAATTATTTGGACATGCTAAACTAAAACAGCTTCAAAAGTGAAGACCAATAACTGAAATAGAAAAATTCTTCTGTGAAAGAATCCTTGGGTGTGTGTGTGTGTGTGTGTGTGTGTGTGTGTGTGTGTGTGTGTGTGTGTGTATGTGTGTGTGTGTGTGTTTGGGGGGAGGGGAAGGATATAGTGCAAGGTGAGTGAAAGGTAAAATTGGCAGGAGATTTAATCTTCATGTTATACACTTTCAAAAAGAACCTATGCCATAAAGAATGAACTGTGTTAGAAATTGTGGTATAAAGAGATGCCTAGAATTTCATTTAGGCCAAATTGTCCCCTCTTTATCAACAGCTATATGGCTAACATTCTTTTTTTCACTTAAAATTCAGTCCTTCCTCGAAGACATCTGTAAATGTTTTCCCCTCTACTTTTCAATTTCAAATGAAACATTCTCTGTCAGAATGGGATGTTCTGTATTTCTGTAGTCCCCACCCTGGGTTTACACTGCAGCTCATTTATCCTTGGCTTTGGTCCCAGTCTAGTAAGGTTTTCCTTCTTTGTTATACAGAATATCATATTTTCACATGTTAAGTGCCTTTGCAACTGAAATTCAGTCATCAGCAGTCTACCTTCTGGGGCCTGGTGAACTTCCTAAAAATGTTCACAGAACACAGAAATGGGCAGTGCAAAGCAGAGAAGGAGATATTTGATGGAGTCTATGGCCTTCTGTATGAACCAGATCCCACTTGTCCACATTCCTCCAGTCAACAATCTTGCCAAATGCTCCATCTTTTCAACTCTAGTAACTTCCCTTCTAGTCACTGTTTTCTGGTTTGATGCTTAAAACTTACACATGGACACATCTATTCACCATACTAATTATGACTTCATTGACTTGTGTTCCCTAAAAAGCATGTGTTGAAAACTTAATCCCCAATGCATCTATTGTGCAGGGATGTGGGACTAATGAGACCATGAGCACAGAGTCAGTGGATGGATGGTGTTATCGTTGGAGTGGGTTTGTCATAGTTAGTGTGGGCTCTTTATAAAAGGACAAGTTTGTGCCTTCTCATGCAAGCATTCCTACATCTCTCTGTCTTTCGCCATGTATGGCTTCTACCATGTTATATTACAGCAAGAAGTCCCTCAGCAGATGCCAACCCCTTGATCTTAAGACTTCCCATCTGGTACTGTGAACCAAATCATAATAAATTATCCAGTCTGTGGTGTAGAAGAATAACACAGACTAAGGCATCAGTTTAGTTTAGTTTAGTTATAGCATGTGTACATTTCACTAACTCCAAGTGTTGAGGATGCAAAAAAGAGGTGGAACAGAGAAAGGGGGAAAATGCATTTCAAATAGAAGAGAGCAAGTTCCTTCCATATGTTTATGCCACAAAATGTGAGGGAGAGAAGGAAGTCTTGTTTCCTCAGTGTCAGGTCTCACGTTCCTCTCCAAGTGTGAGCAACTTCCATGCTGACTTTCATTTTAAAATTTAAACATAATTATTTCTCATAGAACATGATCTCTGAAAGCAAACTAATGACTTCATGTGGCGCTCTGTCAAGGAAATACTGATCTGTTTTCTAGTACGCCATGGAAGAAAATGTTGGAATTTTGGAGAGAAAGTGTGACAGTGTTCAATTGTGTCAGTGTGGGGCTTCTCTGAATAATTCTAAAACTCTGACTCTGTCCATCTGTCTAAATTCCTAATTTTAGAACCTTAACTCATAGTGCTGTGGCTTCGGGGTGCTCGAAAGCAGAACTGCAAACAAGCGCTGCACGTCTGGAATCTATAATTTGGCTCACCATGCAGCTCCATCGATCACCAGGTGAGCTTTAGTCTCATTATTAAAATGTAACACCAGTGCCCATCCCATAAGTACTCCTATAAGAGTGTGTTGGGATAACAGGTAAAGACATTTAAGCTGTGTGGTAAGAGTTTAAATGTGTAACAAGAATTGCTATTACTTTTCTAAATTTCTTTTTTCTAAAGGGAATTCTTTTATAAATCAGTTACTTAATAAACTTGAGAAGCTTCTGTGGTCTTCCTACTTAGGTAATAGGAAATATTGCAAATTTTGAATAAGATTGTGGTCTATAATGAATAACAGTATACGCAAATATATTTTCTTCTAAGAAAACATTTTTATCCTTTGTTTATACACTTTTAATGCACTGATTTTGGCATGTACAGCTGATTTTTTTCCTCTTTATTATTTTCTCTTGTGTCTTTTGAGAGATTCTTTAGTTTGCTTATAACAGTAAGAAAGAGATTTAACAGATTCTGTTCAGTGTACAATCATTGAAAATGTACTTAAAAGTATTAACATCAACAAAATTGTATAAAATGTTAATGTCGAAGGCAAGTAGAAGATGGTGGATTGTTACATCCCTATACCCCAGCAGCAACTAACTACCATGAAAAAGGAAGATCGGAGACTCTCAAAAGGGACCCATGGGGTCCCATAATCGACAAGAAACAAAGCTCTCTCCAGATCCACAAATAGAGAAGCAACTAGCCATGGGAAGAATGGGAAGAACAACTTGTAGTTCAACACTCTAGAATCCCCTGCTCCTGAAGTCCCCGTGCAGCTCCAGGCTCCATTACTTGGTTGGTACTTGCTTGGCGGTAAGTCCTGCTTCCTGGCACAAACAAGAACTTGGATGCTCTCCCCTACTACATGATCTGCTACCTTCACCCTGAAATGCCAGGGAAACTGGTGCCCATGTAGAAGCAGGGCCCAGGGCTCCCACTGCTCCATGGGAAACAGAAGGAGCAAGCCACCAGGCTTGGTTCTCCTGTGCTGGCAGCAGCTATTGTACTGTGTTCCCAAAGCCTGTGCCAATAAGCAGACCCTAGAGCTCCCACTACCCACAGGCTTTGCTCTCCTGTTGCTGCAGCAGCTCCTGTGGCACCTGGAAGCTGGCACCTTGCAAGCAGGCCCCAGAACTCCTGCTGCCCGAAGGCTTTGTTCCCCCATGCCTGCAGTAGCTTCCTCAGCTCCTGGTAGACTGTGTGGGAAAGCAGGCCCCAAGGCTCCCACTGCCCAAAGGCTTGGTACTCCTGTGCATGCAGCAGCTGCCATGGCTCCTGGAAGCCCACACCCCAACACAAGTAGACCCCTCAGCTCCACTGCCTTGTGGTCACCAGATGATTCAAGCCCACCAGATTTGCTGCACGTGGGCACCTCAACTTGCTACTCAGTGCCAGGAGCCCATTACCACACAAACAAGTGAACCGCAGGCTCCAAGCGTTGCTATTCTGCTGGTGCCAGGAAGCTTCCCTTCCCACAGAGCACAGAGGCCCAGTGCTAACGTCCAAGCCCTCCTATGGAGAGCTCCCGCTGCCCCGTCAAAGAACGGAAACCCAGCTCCTCCACTGAGTGGTAACCTGCCATTTTGTGGGAGCCAGAACCTGCTTCTCTAAGGCACAAAAAGACCCAGCGCTTCCCACTGTGCCTGGCCACTGGAGAGCCCCTGCTTCTCCATTAAAGGCCAAAAATGCTAGACTGCCCACTGAGGGGAGGAAACCTGTAACCTACTACTCTGCAGGTGGTACCAGAAGGCTGGCTTCCTCTGTGTGCACAGGAGCCCAGTGCTTCACGCTGTGCCTCCTTGCAGGAGAGTCCCATTTCTCCTGTCCAAGAGCTGGAACTCCAGCTCCTCTGCTTAGTGGGAATCCACTACTCTGCAAGTGCTAGGAGGCCTGCTTCCCACAATGCACAGAGACCCAGCACTCTCCATTGTGACTGCAGGGGAGTCCCCACACCCCCATCAAAGACAGGGAACTCCAGCCCCCCACTGGGAGAAGAAAAGAGGCAACCTGCACCACAACAAGAACCCAGCAAGGGATAACATTTCCAGCATACTCTCTCTGAGGAAAATTTCTGGAGCTCCAGGAGAAAAAAACTCAAAACTCCAACTACAGGGGCACAAGGGATTAAAACTCTAACCAAAAACAACTCCAGATGTGCAAATCTCAATGCAGAATGAAACAGCTAGACAACAGCTCTCCCTCAAAAATCAATGCCACCACTAAGGATGTAAGCACCTGCATAGAAGAAGAAATATCAAATAATGAATTCCAAGAAACAAGAATAAAAATGATTAATGACCTCAAAGAAGGACGGAATAAATAATTAAATGAGCACAAAGAGAATATAAACAAACAGATGAATGAAATTAAGAAGACTATCCAGGATATGAAAGAGGAAATCAATAAAGATATGGAAATCCTGAAAAATAATCAATCTGAAATAAACAACACAATATCCCAAATAAAAATCTCAATTGAAAGCCTGGTGAACAGAGTGGAGCAAGTTGAAAATAGAGTATCAGGAACATAAGACAAGAAGGAATTAGACCAAACAGTAAAAAAATCATGAAAAAATGCTAAGAAAATATGAATGGAACATGCAAGACATCTGGGACATCATGAAAAGACCTTACCTATGAATCATGGGTATAGAAGAAGGAGAGGAGATATAAATTAAGGGCAATGACAACCTATACAATAGAATAATAGCTGAAAACTTCCCGAACCTCAAGAAAAAGAGAGTCACCCAGGTTCAGGAAGCTTACAGAACACCAAACTGTCAGGACCAAAAAAGAAACACCCTCACACATAATCAAAACACTCATCACACAGAACAAAGAGAGAACTCTGAAAGTTGCAAAAGAAAAAAGACAAGTCACACATAAACCCATCAGAATAACAGCAGATTTCTCAACTCAAACTCTAAATGCAAGGTCATGGAAAGACATAATTCAGGCCTTGAAAGATAGCAATTGTCAACCTAGACTAGTCTACCTAGCAAAACTATCCTTCTTAATTGAAGGAGAAATGAAAACATTCCGCAACAAGGAAAAGTTAAAAGAATTTGCAACCACCAAGCCAGCACTACAGAGATACATAAAGGACTTTTACATATAGAAGAAGAAACTAAAGTGACAGGAAGAATCAAGAAAGAATAAACCCTTTTGAGCAAGCAGACCAGTAAATAAGGAACAGGTAAAACTAAGCAACAGGGGAAGAAGAATGACTGGAAACAACAGGCACCTCTTAATATTAACACTGAATATAAATGTCTTCAATGCCCTAATCAAAAGACATAGAATAGCAAATTGGGTTAAAAAACAAGACCCAAACATATGTTGCTTACAAAAGACTGAACTCACTGAAGAAAATGAACACTGGCTAGTCTAAGGGTGGAAAAAAGTTTTCCAAGAAAATAGATCCCATAAACAGGCAGGAGTAACTACACTAATATCTGACAGAGTCAGAAGAGACAATAAAGGTCACTTCATATTAATTAAAAGAACATTTCAAGAGGAAATATCAATCCTTAACATATATGCACCAAACACAGGGGTGCCCATCTACATTAAAAAACTCTAATAGCCCAACAAGCACAGATAGACCCTAACACAGTGATAGTGGGAGACCTGAATACCCCACTGTCACCAACAGATAAGTCATCCAGACAAAAGATCAACAAAGAAACTTCAGAGCTACTCCAAACATTAGACCAAATAGACATGGTTGATATCTATATAATATTTCACCCAAAAACCAGGCAGTGCACATTCTTTTCAACCAAAATTGAACAAAGAAGATATTAAACACCTAAATAGTATTATTACATGCAATGAAATTAAAACAGTAATAAAGAGTCTCCCTACAAAGAACAGCCCAGGATCTGAAGGATTCATGACCAAATTTTACCAGACCTTTAAAGAAGAACTAATAGCAATACTCCTAAAACTTTTCCAGGAAATAGAAAGGGAATGAACCCTACCAAAGTCATTCTATGAAGCCAGCATCACACTCATTCCAAAACCTAATAAAGATGTAACCCGAAAAGAGAATTATGGACCAGTATCTTCAATGAATATAGATGCAAAGATTATCAACAAAATACTGGCAAACAAGATTCAACAATACATGAAAATGATCATACACTATGACCAAGTTGGTTTCATTCCAGGGATACCAGGATGGTTCAACATATGTAAATCCATAAACATAATACAGCATATAAACAGAAGCAAGGACAAAAACCACATGATCCTCTCAATTTATGCAGAAAAAGCCTTTGACAAAATCCAACACCTTTTCATGATAAAAGCTCTGAGGAAAGTAGGAACAGAAGGAATGTTCCTCAACATAATTAAAGCCATGTATGACAAACCTACAGCCAACATCATACTAAATAGAGAACAATTGAAAACCTTTCTGTTGAAGTCAGGAATGAGACAGGGCTGCCCACTTTCTCCATTCCTATTCAATATAGTTTTGGAATTCCTAGCCAGAGCAATAAGATAAGGGCAAAAAATAAAAGGGATTCAAATAGGGAAGGAAGAAGTCAAACTATCCCTATTTACTGAAGGCATGATCCTATACCCAAGAGACCCCCAAAAATCTACCAAAAAACTATTAGAAATTATAAACTCTTTCAGCAAAGTAGCAGGATACAAAATTAACATACAGAAATCAGAAGCTTTTCTATATACAACAATGCACAGACTGAGAAAGAAATCAGGGAAACAATCCCATTTACAATAGCCTCAAAAACAGTAAAGTACCTTGGAATAAATTTAATGAAAAAAAAAAAGACCTTTTAAATGAAAACTATAAACCATTGAAGAAAACATCAGAAGATGCAAAGACCTTCTATGCTTGTGGATTGATAGAACCAAAATTGTGAAAATGCCATACTACCAAAAGCAATCTACACGTTCAATGTAATTTCTATCCAAATTTCAATGACATTCTGCACAGAAATAGAAAGAGCAATTGTGAAATACATATGGAAATATGGAAGACCTCAAATATCCAAAGCAATTCTGAGCAAAAAGTTCAATGCTGGAGGCATTGCAATACCTGACTTCAAACTATACTACAGAGCCATAACAATAAAAACAACATGGTATTGGCACAAAAACAAATAGTTAGACCAATGGATCAGAAAAGAAGATCCAGACACAAACCCACACATCTCTAGCTAGCTGATCTTCGACAAAACACATGATGGAGAAAAGACAGCCTCTTCAACAAATGCTGCTGGGAAAACTGGATATTTGCATGTAGAAAACTGAAACTAAATCCCTGTCTTTCATCCTGTACCAAAATCAACTCAAAGTGGATCAAAGACCTTAATATAAGGCCTGAAACTTTGAAGCAACTCTAGAAGTAGTTAGGAAATACACTGGAACAGATAGGTATAGGGAACGACTTCCTAAACAGAGCTCAAAAGGCTCAGCATCTAAGAGAAACAATGAACAAATGGGACTGCATAAAACTAAAGAGCTTCTGCACAGCAAAGAAACAGTAGCTAGACTCAAGAGATAGCACACAGAATAGGAGAAAATCTTTGCCAGCTACTTATCTGATAAGGGACTAATATCCTGAATCTACAGGGAACTCAAAAAACTCAGACCCCAAAGAATCAACACCCCAGTGAAGAAATGGGGACATGAATTAAATAGGGAATTCTCAAAGGAAGACGAAGAAATGGCCAGTAAATACATGAAGAAATGCTCCACTTCCCTGATTATAAAAGAGATGCAAGCCAAAACTACACTAAGATTTCATCTCACTCCATAATCAAGGGTATAACATGAACAAATGTTTGTGAGGATGTAGCAAAACAGGAACCTTTATACACTGCTGGTGGGAATGCAAGTTAGTACAACTGCTATGGAAAGCAGTATGGAGATTCCTCAAAAAACTAGAGATAGAACTGCCATATGATCCAATGATATTTGGGTTTCTTTCTACCTAAAGAAACATAAGACAGGATACAGTAGAGACACCTGTACACCAATGTTTTTCACAGCACTATTCACAACAGCCAAGCTTTGGAAACAACCCAGGTGCCCTACAACTGATGAATGGATCAAGAAATTGTGGTCTATATACACAATGGAGTATTACTCAGCCATAAGGAATAATGACAAGTGTTTGGAAGGTAAATGGATGCAATTGGAGGACATCATGTTAAGTGAAGTAAGCCAGGATCAGAAACACAAAAGCCACATTTTTTCTCTCATATGTAGAAGATAGATCTAAAGATAAACATATACACAAAAACAAGCATGAACATACACAAACTCATATGTGGGGGATGGGAGGTAAATGGGTAAGTGAGAGTAATGGAAGGGGTTGAATGGACCAAAGTAAAGAACACCCACAGTGGGCATACATTGAGACACCCCTATGAACATCAACTTAAATATTAATAATGAAAACTGGGATTGTAAGATAGGTACAGTGTGTGTGTTGGAGGGTATGGTGGGGATAAAGGAAGGAGACTAAGGTGATGATATATGTTAGATAGACTTCATATACCTATATGAACTAGAACTAAGAAAGCTCTTATAATTGCTTTGAGTGTGATGCGGAAGGGATTGAGGGGGAGAGATGATGGGGGCAATATAAATAATGTACAGTATAAGTCTAATCAGAATTGTCACTATGAATCCCCCACTGTATAATGAATATATCCTAATAAAAATTTATTAAAAAGAAAATGTTAATGTTACAGAACCCTTTTCAATATAGATTGTTTCCAGGGAAGAACAAATTTTAGTTTCTTGTTAATAAATGGACCAGTTTTTTGCATACAGACCCAATCCACTCATACCTACGAATACTGTGCAGAATCTACTTAAGAGCTGCTCTGTGAAATCACCTACCTATGAGCCTTCGTTGGGGTGAAAGCTGGACAGCTGTCTGATCAGCAAATCTGCACAGAATCATGTGTTCCTAAAAGAAAAAGCAATGAAGTGTGAGTTCATTTGAAATTCCAGCTTCTGAGTTGTAAAAACAAACAAACAATTTCATTTTTTATGGAGTTCAACAGTCCTTAATTGAATAAAAGTATTGTACAAAGAAGTACTTTTAAAACAAACAATCTTTGAGCAAATGGTACTCAATAACTTCCTCCCTTCAAGTATACCACTCTTTAGATGTAGTTCTTAACAGATTCACAGAGCTGGAGACATGGCTTAAGTGGTAGAATGCTTGCCTAGCAAGTGAGAAGTCCTGAGTTCAAACCCCAATATTGCAAAAAAAGAGAGAGAAAAAACCCCAGATACACAGAAAATCCTCAGGGCCACTTTGCTTAGTTGTTATTTGCTGGAATAATGTTAACATGGCTACATTTTGTGATTATAATGTGCTAAATGAAAATACCTACAATTCACTTATAAATAAATATATATTTTAAATAAAAATTCTTAAGAATTCCATTAAAAATTCCATTACCAAGACCTGAGGTAATGGAAGAGATTGTTACTCTGATTATCAATTTTAGGAAAGACTGCATTAATGAAAGAGAAAGTCTTTGAAGGCATAGAATTGATGAATTTGCACAGTGCTATTCAATCTGCAAGCAAAGGTGAGTGATTAGGCAAAGTCTGAATGAATGCAATGCTGCTATGACAACTGTTCCCAAGTTTGCAAATGACTTCACCTGTTGGCTAGGCAAACAGATTGAACTCATACTTATCATTTTTATCCTCTTAGTATTTTGTACATTAAACCTGAAGACTCTTTTTTTGAGAGGTCTTGCAGTCTAATCCAAGTTGGACTTGAACTTTTGATCCTCTGCCTCAGCTTCCCAAGTACAAAGTCTCCATTTTTTAATCAGTAAGTGAAATGGATGTGGTATTTTTTTAAAATACAGGGTTATATTTGTCTCAACTTTTATGTGTTTAAAAGCCACATCTGTAGTCCATTTTGTTCTCACTATTTTGAAGATTGGGTCTCTCAAACTCTTTGCCCTAGCTGGCCTCGAACTGCGATCTTCCTGGTCTCAGCCTCCCTAGTAGTTGGGTTAAAGGCATGAGCCACTGACACCTGGTTTTAACACTAACTATTAAAAAAATGGCAAAGGCTAGGGAACTAATAAAATGTTTTGATGGAACAACTTTTAATAAGCTCCCATAAATATCATCAAACAAAGGGAAGAATCTAGCATTACGTGATTTGAAGAAAGACAAAAACAAGCATGCTTTTGTCCTCATGATATTTGTAAAGAGATTTGCTGTACATACGTAAAGGTAATGTTCAGGCAATCACAGTCTCAGCAGAGGTACAATTCCCTTGTACTGATAAATGTTAGCATAATTATTTGTGTGTCTGTTCTCTTTAGTCAAGAGTTAGATTTTGAAAGGGCAAGACACATGACAGGTACTCAGTAAAAGTTGTTGGTTAAATTTGACTTGGAGAAAAACACTTCCCAACTGGCTCTTTAAATATTTAGGCCCTAAGTCCATTTAGTTTTACCTGCTAGGACATTCATTTTGATGAAGCTAAGGAATATTGTGATAGCATCTGTTATAGTATCTAAGAAGTAAAGATTTCTCTAGAAATCATTTACATCTAAGGCCTTCAAAGGGCTGTGGCCAAGCAGCTTTTGGGGGTGCTGGAATAAGGGGAGATAGAGACTATTAACTGGGGCACCGGGGTGGGGTTCTGCTCTGTGGGAATTTGTGTTCATCTCTACATTCTTTTCCAGCCAGTGAGATTGTGGGTACCGTATCTCCACACTGCTCTATTTCTCCCACACAACCTCTCATTGTTTGCTTTACTTAGCATTACTCAAGCAGGGATAATAAAACCAGGTGTCTGTTTTTTGTTCTTCCCAATTTATTTTCTACTTTATTGACAGAGCCTTGTGAGAGTAAGTTGAGGGATTTTGAATTTCATGCAAATAAAGTTTCTGGTATTCTGATATTCCCCCCACTCCCTTGAAAAGAAATCTTCTAGTTCCCTAGGATATGAAAACTTTTAATCTGGTCAGTGGAAGGCCAGCAGTGTCCTGGTCTGGATGAAAGCACAAACACTGAAGTCCTTTCCTTCTCCATAGGCTGTGCATGTTTGTATGGGACAGTCAGGAGGGGAGGAAGATGAGAGTTGCAGGTAGGTGAGAGATAGAGTTAGTGGCTTGAATTTAGGAGATATAAAGAAGAGGTGAAGGAGATATAGCTGCCAAGCTGGTAGAGATGAATGTTTTTAGGTTCTTTACTATTTCACAGTTAGATGGACAAGGTAAAATTCCTAAAATGTAGGGGCCAGTATATATAAAATGAAATTGTATGTTTTTAGTGGGTCCATGTAAAAAGTGCTATTACAAAATTAAAAATCAAACTAATTTATCATGTTTTAACAGGATTATTTATGTATTTCTCTCAAATATTTCTTAGATTGTATATGTCATGTTATTGAATAATTAATTGTCACTGGTGATGTTCAGAAGTTGGTTGCAACCACTTTTGGGAGATAGTACTCCAAGGGTCTCTTGTGTTTCTTCACATCTGGTAAGCAGAGACTGATTGCTTTGTTCCAAACCAAGGGCTGGTAAACCGAGGAGTCAGCCTATGAACTCTTTATGTATGCATCACAGGTTAACACAGTATTTGTATTTTTAAATGGCTGTAAAATAACAACAAATTATGCTGAAGATGAGGACAACGAAGAAGAGTATGTAGGAGGTCTATATGAAGCCAGCAGTGCTTAATCTTTTACAGAAAAGTTTTTACTTCAGATTATCCTTTCAATCACATTTCTATAGTGAACAGCCTTGAAAACTACAGTCTCTCTCTGGAGCAAACAGCAGATGTCACCTGACCCCATTTCCTTCTGGCCTGTGAGAGCTGGGCTTCAGGGAGTCAGTGTACACATGAAGGTACTGTGGTTACTGCCATTACTCTGAGTAAAAGCTGTCTTTTGTCTCTGACTCAGGAGTCTCATGTCCTCTACCAGCATCCACCACAATGGGCTAATTTGTTAGTTTGAAGGTACAGTGAAAATCTCAGGCCCTTCACAAATACTGTCAATCACTAGAAGTTAATTTGAATGTAAAAAAAAAAAGGGCCACATTTGATGTTCATGAGTAATTAAAATATAGCAATAAATTATATACTCTATTAGAAATTTAAGACAGGAAAATAAAAAGAATAGAAAGTATATTAGGAAGACATATAGAGCTTTTAAAGGTTACCTTATATGATAGAGTTTTCTTGAATTGTTCACTGAAACAGAAAAGAAAAAGGAATTGTTTATCACTCAAAATGTTAAGAATATTAAATAAACTAAATTAAAAATAAAAATATGTATTGGATCTGAACACTACAAAATGCTACCCTGAAGTAAAAACCATGCCAATTTGAAATATCTAAGAAAATACAACAGCATATTATCAATATGCTAATTTTAAAGAATTTCTTTCACATCCTGTTTGTTCTTTTGGAGAAGCACAACCATTATTTTTTTTCTCTTCTCCTCATAGGAACATATAGATTCAGGTGTTTTACTATTTGAGTTTTATTATTAATCAGCTGTATTGATCAGGAGCAATCACCATTGAAAAGATACTTTGTTCCTCACAGTTTCCCAGGAAGAGGGGCATGCCGTGCCATATAAGGTCTTGGGGAGAAGGAGAGGGTAAGTATGTGGAGAGGGACTAGAGTCAAATGTGGGTAAGAGCCTTTATTGTGGTGTCAGGCCAGGCTGGGTAAACAGACTTAGGACTGACTAGTCTGGTAATTCCACTGGGCTCTGGAATACAGGGATATCTCCAGTTGCTGGGTACTAGGCCCTGGGGTATTTGGTCAGGGAACAGTGATCTGGAAATATAAGAACTCGATAAAGGAGGTGTTTGGGGAAAGGGCTCTGGAGTAATTGGTTTGCATAGGCAAGTTATTTACACAGATGGGAAAACATCTGAAAATAAAAAGACACAAAAAATACACCAGAAATACCAAGACTATCACAGCTATTAAAGGAAAACATACATTCCATAAACACTGCCTTTTATTTATGCTGCAGCCCTTATTCTTGAGTAAGGCACTCAAAAACTTGTATTTACATGTGATGCTAAATTTATTAGTATCAACTACTTTTTTTTTAAATTGAGCACTTGTTTCCACATATTTTAGAAACACTGTTTATAAATTCACAATTCTGTCTTTGGTGATTGAGATACATATTATACACAAAGGAATAAACTTTCTGAAGACATAATTTCCAAGAACAAGGGAGTAAATATACAGGGTCGGGAAAAGTTGCATCGAGACTTTAAATGTCGACATTGAGCTAAGTGTACGCTGAACAAGTAAAATTAGCATTCTCAGTGCAAGGGGCTGAGGGATGTGGCTCAAGTGGTAGAGCTCTGACTTACCATATGCCAGGCTTTGGGTTCAAACCCTAGTACCACCCCTCCCCCAATCTTTATAGTGCTAGACTTGTATATTTCTTAATGAGCTTTATTAAAATGTATTTTATTAGTATAGGCTTATAATAAAATGAAATCTCAACTGCCAAATAAACTTCTTTCTCTCTCTCTATAAAAATATAGATGTATATATATATATATATATATAAATATATATGTATGTATAATAAATATATAATTGTGATTTTCTGGGCTGGATGTAATTCAGTGGTAAAGCACTTGCTTAACATGTGTGAGGTCCTGGGTTGGATCCCCAGCACCAAAAACAAACAAACAAAGAAAAGCAAACAAAACAACTGTGTTTATAATTTTCTTTTGTATAGTTCCTTTGATTTTTTTCTCAACTGGTTGTAAATTATGGCAAGAACAAAACAATAAAAGAAAAAGAAAAAGATGGCTATTATTTATATTTTGTAACATAGAAATATAAATTTTAATATAAATTTCTAAAGTTTTAAAAAGTAATGATACAACTGATCAATGGGATTTTTTTGGACATATTATAGGAAAGAATTTCCAAAACTAACGTATTTAGCTATTCCCTAATTAAAATGATTATCATGATTCTCAGTAACTATGAATCAGATTGTGAAAATGTCATACAACAAAGGGTGGTTGGTCCTCCAGTAAATTGGGGTAACGTGGTGAGAATTAAACTGCCTTCCTCTTCTATGTGGGATAAGAAAGACTATAAACATGACTGCCAGGTTTAATCATGAACACCCACGGGCACTATTTAAAAACACACTTTCACTAGCAACAGTTCACATTTATTGCGTGACCATGCCACTTCTACACACTATATATATTTTTTAACTCTCATAAGAGCCTTGAAATAGTCACTATTATGACCTCATTTTGTAAATGAGAAAACACAAGAAAATAGAGTAAATAACTTGCCTGAGATGAATCAACTTATAATGTGATAAAGAGGCACTATTTGCACCATTTTCAGGTCCTAATCACTCAATACTTGTACTCCATTGCCTCATTTAAATGGTGGATCTAACCCCAGTTAGAAGAACAGAGAAGTGCTGAGGCTGACAGACTTCTAGTTGGTTAACTCCTAGATAGACTTGCTGCTAACTTTCAGCCATGAGCTGGATCCAGGGGAAATTTCATGGCTAGACACAGAGGAGAGCCTCTCTTCCTAGTACAGTTTATAAATAATACTTGCCTTGTGAAAAAGTAAATGACCTCAAAATGAAATATTACAACTTTATATCAAATAAGTCTTATGTGCTTGTTCATCCCCACTAGTGTCTTAGCTAGAATACTAAATTTCACCTTTTTGGAAAGTTAAACTTTGAAGTATTCTGAATGAAACCATAACAGCAAGGGCACGTGACAAAGGAAGCCCGTGTTTTGATGCAATGTTCAATCACCATGTCTGTTGCCACCCCGCAGGCATGCAACGCTACCTGGAAAATAAAACCAGACCTTAGCATTAGGCTCATTCTTAACTAACAGTACAACTTTTGTGCCTTTAAAAATTTTTTTGACTGGTTCTAAAGAGATTTTAAGTTACCAAAATATTGTTATATAACAGCTTAACTAGTTCTCTTGAACATAACAAAGGAGTACTTAGCTATTTATATTAATTAAGAAAATAAAGCAAGGTTGATGCTGGGTTCTGTGGCTCATGCCTATAATCCCAGTTACTGAGGAGATGGAGGTTGGGAAGATCGCGGTTGGAGACCAGCCCATGCAAAAAGTTAGTGAGACTCCAATCTCAACCAATAAGCTTGGTATGATAGTACATGCCTGTGGTCCCATCTACATGGGAGACTATAGATAGGAGGATGTGGATCTGAGGCCAGCCCCAGGCAAAACCAGAAGATCTTACCTGAAAAATAACTAACACAGAAAAACACAAAAAAGGGTAGGAGGTGTGGCTTAAGCGGTAGACCACCTGCCTAACAATTGAAAAGCCCTGAGTTTAACCTCAGTACTGCCTCCCCCACAAAAAAAGAAAAAGAAAATTAAACCTCGGTTGATAGATTACAAAAGGAATATTACAAATGCAGCATGAGATTCATTCAATGGGAAGTGTGACACAATGTTCGATGTGGAAAACTGAATATGTAACATCTAAACTAGCTCTATTGTAATTATGAATTTAGTTCAGCTGTAGCATGGTGGCAAGAACACTATTTGAAGTGAGAATTCTAGGATAGAACTCTGGTTGGCTGTGAGACCCTAAGCATCTTATAATAAACTTCTTTGAGTTTTTGTCTTCTCAGCTATAAACAATACTGATATATCACAAAACAGATGAAGATTAAATAAAAATATATGTGAAAACACCTTTGCAAATGCTATATAAATAGAATCTAATCAGTGCTATATAAAAACCCCTGAAAATTATGAGGCTAAATAAGCCAGAATATGACTCCATGAAGGAAACTCAGAAGTGGGAATCCTGAAGGATAAACTACGTCTTACCTGAAAAATATTCACATCTCCATTTCGTTCTACATAGGCAAATAGTAATAGATTATACTTTTCACTTCTAGGGATAGATCTCACCAACTTTATGGTAGCGAGGAGTTCTCAGGATGCAGAGGAGAGTTTTCTGGAAATTCCTGGATGTAAGTATTATAGTTAGATCTCTTTAGAATTGAAGTTAAAAATAATTCTATGAAGGGAAGAGGAAAGCAAGCTCTGTGCTCTCAACCCCTCTCAATTCTCCCCTCGTCCTAAACACATGGGCTACATAGAAGTCAACCATCTCGATGGTGGCTGCCCATCTTTCCTGTTTCATGCTGAAAACAGCTTAGGAAGTGAGGGCAGCAATAACTACTGGGTAATGGGACAGTAAAGGACCTCAATTTCTTATCTGCCCCTTGTATTCAGTCAGTTTTGCAGAGTAAAAATCAGGCGAATCCTTATTTTCATTAATAGCTACAGAATACCTCACACTAAAAGTTATGGATGCAATTTCCCCTGAAGGGAGAGAGAATAAAATTGAAACTCACTGAGTGCTCTTTATATGAAGACTCTGTGCTGGCGTTAGCATGCAAATCTGTCTATGCCCATATAAACCCTGAAAGAATGCATTATCTCTATTTTAGAAGTGAAGAAACCACAGCTTAACAACATTAAGAAATTGCTCATACCTAACAAAAGATGTGAAAGACCTCTACAAGGAAAACTATACACTTCTGAAGAAAGAGATTGAGGAAGACTATAGAAAGTGGAGAGATCTCCCATGCTCATGGATTGGTAGAATCAACATAGTAAAAATGTCGATACTCCCCAAAGTAATCTACATGTTTAATGCAATTCCCATCAAAATTCCAATGACATTCATTAAAGAGATTGAAAAATCTACTGTTAAATTTATATGGAAACACAAGAGGCCACGAATAGCCAAGGCAATTCTCAGTCAAAAGAACAATGCAGGAGGTATCACAATACCTGACTTCAAACTATATTACAAAGCAATAACAATAAAAACAGCATGGTACTGGCACAAAAACAGACATGAAGACCAGTGGAACAGAATAGAGGATCCAGATATGAAGCCACACAACTATGAGCAACTTATCTTTGACAAAGGAGCTAAAAAATATACGATGGAGAAATAGCAGCCTCTTCAACAAAAACTGCTGGGAAAACTGGTTAGCAGTCTGCAAAAAACTGAAACTAGATCCATGTATATCACCCTATACCAAGATTAACTCAAAATGGATCAAGGATCTTAATATCAGACCCCAAACTCTTAAGTTGATACAAGAAAGAGTAGGAAATACTCTGGAGTTAGTAGGTATAGGTAAGAACTTTCTCAATGAAACCCCAGCAGCACAGCAACTAAGAGATAGCATAGATAAATGGGACCTCATAAAACTAAAAAGCTTCTGTTCATCAAAAGAAATGGTCTCTAAACTGAAGAGAACACCCACAGAGTGGGAGAAAATATTTGCCAATTATACATCAGACAAAGGACTGATAACCAGAATATACAGGGAACTTAAAAAACTAAATTCTCCCAAAACTAATGAACCAATAAAGAAATGGGCAGTGAACTAAACAGAACTTTCTCAAAAGAAGAAATTCAAATGGCCAGAAAACACATGAAAAAATGCTCACCATCTCTAGCAATAAAGGAAATGCAAATTAAAACCACACTAAGATTCCACCTCACCCCTGTTAGAATAGCCATCATCAGCAACACCACCAACAACAGGTGTTGGCGAGGATGCGGGGAAAAAGGAACCCTCTTACACTGTTGTGGGAATGTAGACTAGTACAACCACTCTGGAAAAAAATTTGGAGGCTACTTAAAAAGCTGGACATCGATCTACCATTTGATCCAGCAATACCACTCTTGGGGATATACCCAAAAGACTGTTACTCCAGAGGCACCTGCACATCCATGTTTATTGCGGCACTATTCACAATAGCCAAGTTATGGAAACAGCCAAGATGCCAAGACGAATGGATTAAGAAAATGTGGTATCTATACACAATGGAATTTTATGCAGCCATGAAGAAGAACGAAATGTTATCATTCGCTGGTAAATGGATGGAATTGGAGAACATCATTCTGAGTGAGGTTAGCCTGGCTCAAAAGACCAAAAATCGTATGTTCTCCCTCATATGTGGACATTAGATCAAGGGCAAACACAACAAGGGGATTGGACTATGAGCACATGATAAAAGCGAGAGCACACAAGGGAGGGGTGAGGATAGGTAAGACACCTAAAAAACTAGCTAGCATTTGTTGCCCTTAATGCAGAGAAACTAAAGCAGATACCTTAAAAGCAACTGAGGCCAATAGGAAAAGGGGACCAGGAACTAGAGAAAAGGTTAGATCAAAAAGAATTAACCTAGAAGGTAACACCCACGCACAGGAAATCAATGTGAGTCAATGCCCTGTATAGCTATCCTTATCTCAACCAGCAAAACCCCTTGTTCCTTCCTATTATTGCTTATACTCTCTCTACAACAAAATTAGAGATAAGGGCAAAATAGTTTCTGCTGGGTATTGAGGGGGGGAGCGGGAGGGGGTGGAGTGGGTGGTAAGGGAGGAGGTGGGGGCAGGGGGGAGAAATGAACCAAGCCTTGTATGCACATATGAATAATAAAAGAAAAATGAAAAAAAAAAAAAAGAAATTGCTCATAAATAACAAGTGAGGGGTAGGACTCTGACCTCACAGTAAGATCCCATGCATTAAGTACATCAGGGTGCTTCTCTAAACCCTTGTGGCTCTCAACAAAGAGTTTAGACAATTCTATTTTCATGTCTTTACTTGGATTCACATTCCTTTTGCTACATGCAAGACAAAACTAATTTAAACAAAACTAAATTTATACAATGAATTTTAGGTCTAAAAGATATTACTGTATCACATACTCCTAGTTTTCACCATTATCAAATGCATTTTAGATATAACAGGCAAAGAATGAGGAGAAAATAGACAATTGAGCTATTTGAATATAGAAATTAGCATATAAGAAAGGTGGTATTCCAAACTGGGGAAGAAAAGATGGACTTTTCGATGAGCAATGTTGGATTAACCTGAAAGCCATATGAAAAAAAATTAGGTATTTTTCACACACAGGAAATACCAAGTGGATTAGAGATTTAAAATGCAAACAATAAGACATGGATGAATTCCTCCATAATCAAGGGGAGATGGAAATAATTCCTAGAGATTTTGAAGATCCTCATGCAATAAGGAGTTAGGTTAGTAAATTTAAAAATATAAAACTTTTAAAAGAAAATGTTTGAGTGACAAAGAAGCCCCATAAGTAAAAAAGATAAATGGCAAAGTAGGTAAATGATTTATAATTTATAGCATACATAAAGGTTAATTTCCCTAATATATAACAAGCTTCTAAAAATAAAGAGCCCAGTAATCTGATAGTAACATCAAGACATGTGAGGTTAGGGATAGGCTAGGACTGTTCCCCCTTTTGGCTCAAGGGCTTGTTACCCCTAGCCCACAGGTGAGAGTAGCCAGGTGAAGAAGTATTGTCTCCCCACCTCCAAATTCAAGGTGGTATAAAAATGACCTACCAAGAGACTCCAGCGCTTCTTCCCTTTCCTCACCTGGCAGAATGGGTGATTCCCCTTCCTTCATAATGCTATTCTACCTCACCCCATTCACTGTTCTGCTTGGATTCTTCCACTTGGAACACAAGGACTAAGATCTTCTGAAAACAGTTTGCCAATAACATTTGTGGCTAACCAGCCAAAAGCAATCAAGGGGTGAGATCCCAATATGCTATCTCTGCTAATCCTTTTTATTTAAATTCATCTTTCTCTGTCCTCTGGTCTCACTTCTCACCATCTGATGCTTTGAAACCAAACACCACCTATGGCTTAGATGGAATGGTACCCTAACATTGGAACATTCACCCATGCTCAGGACTTGCTGGGAATCCACCTGACAGGCGCACCATGATGAGCAGG